AACGCAGTAAAAATCCAAAACTTCCTTAAAGCCAATTCAAAATATCTTTAGCTTCTTGTGATAAATGAAGAAGCAAAGTTACACATTCAAATCAATGTTTTTCGTTTTTTCAAAACCACAATTGAGAATTTATTATGTGTCTTTAAATTATTGCTGCCAATTTCTATAGCTGGACTGGATACCTCAAGATTCACAATGAACTGGTTCGTATATTTCATGACCAGATTTCCAGAAATCCAGACCAAATGTCAAGAGGAAATCGACAGAGTTATCGGTAAATCTTCACAAAAAATTAAAACTATAAACTTAAAGTTCTTTAATCGAAGAAATTGTTCTAATTCATTGAAATAATACAAAGAATATTTCATAATTTAGTTCATCTTTGTAATCTCAAGGGCGAACGATTAACACAGAGTCTTGTATTCTACTTATTCTCATAACTCTTACATTCACCAAGGATAATTCTTACGATAATTTGGAGCATTGTGCTTATCATCCTTCTTTTCTGATTACATTTAAGACTCGGGGTATCCATCAATGAAGGACCGTGGCAATCTGAACTACACAGAGGCGTGCATGTTTGAAACAATGAGACTAGGAAGCGTTGTGGGGCTGGGTATTCCTCACATGACTATTTGTGATACACAAGTTGGTAGGTAATTATTTATGCAAGTAATGGGGCCCTCATCATCGAATTTCAATTCGATTGTGACTTTTTGTTATCGAGTTTTGAAGTGATGTCTTAATCTGACTGACAAATAGTAATACGATCTTAACTTACAAAAGCATTTACTTATTTTTAACAGGGGGATATGACATACCAAAAGGTACCACAGTCATTATAAACCATTGGGCTCTTCATCATGATCCTAATTTCTTTAAAAACCCAGAAAAATTTGACCCTTATCGTTATCTTGATAAAAACGGAAAAATGAAGCCTAGTAGACCAGATGGATGGCTGCCATTCTCAGCTGGCCGCCGAGTATGTTTGGGAGAATCCCTAGCTAAACCTGAAATACTCTTGATGTGTGCGAATCTGCTGAAGCGATTTGAAATTCGTCTTCCAGATGGAGTGAAACCAAGTCTTGAGTACAAGCAGTATGGATTTGGTACAGAACTTCCACCTGATTATAAAATCGTTGTGAAGGAAAGATATAAAAATTAAACATTCTATTTAGTCTCCGAATAATAATACATGTACACTTTAATACAATGTGTACTGCCATTTGTATTTTGTATTTCCTGTGTATTCAAGACAAATTATATATTAACTATTATAAACCATGTATTTAGTTGTGTAAAATTGTCTGTTACGACAAGTACAGGACTTTGCAAGAAGAACTGCTATAGACAAAGAACTTATGTATATGGTATGAGAATATAAGTTGAGGTTCCCAGCAATCCTGTTCATTCGGTACATAGACACATCTATACATAGGAGGCGTGATTTGAAAAGAAAATAATTAACACTTCAAGAGATTGCTTTCTTTATGACGTTTTATGTCTTTGCTTCTCCTCAGAGAAGAAGGTTATTAAAATCTTTTCCTAACACTTTATTTGTAGAACACCGTTCACGGTAGCTCAGTCGGTAGAGCGCTCGCTCCGTGACCGGGACCGGCCGCGACTGACCTAAGTCGATAAAAAATGGCTAGCAACTGTTCCTTCGCCATGCGCTCGGCACTTTGAAGTGAAAGCTGCGAGTCCTTCGGATGAGACCTTAAAAACCGAGGCCCCGTGTCAGCGGCAGGCGTTGGCACGATAAAGATCCCTCACTGCTCAATGGCCTGAGTGCCGAGTAAAGGTCAAAATTTGAAGCCCTTCACCGGCATACGGTGACGTCTCCATATGAGTGAAAAATTCTCGAGAGGGACGTTAAACAATATACCATCAATCAATCATTTGTAAAACAATGATCATCTAGTGTGGCCTCAACATACCCTTGTGGTTCAAACCTAATTTCAGGGCTATTCTCCTTTTGCCTACGTTTATAAACATAAACTCTGAAGACTTCTTTCAATTAGCCTAGACACATACATACTATATACATGGTAATTTTCGTCTTTTCACTCTTGCAAACAATTTTGCCCTGGTTTAAATTCGCTATGTCATGTCATACTGTATTCCTTGAATTTTTCCCGTTTAAAAAAATGGCCAATATTAAATATAGGGCGAAAGGGGCGAAAATAAAACGGAGGCGAATTTCCCTGTATACAGTATGCATAAGGCTCAAAATTAATTACGACATGGAATATGAAAATGTACTCAGGGAATTCATCGAAAGACAAGTCAAGCTTCTTTGATTTCAGACGCAGATTTTAAATTATTTTTAATAACTTTCAACATGTTCAATCACACAATTAGGAAGAAAGTGGCTGTTCAATTTCACTTACGATTAAGTGGGAAAGGGATGGGGTAAATACAAACAATTTTGAAATATGAAAGTTTTGAAATATATTTTTATTAAAGGAACAATTGTCTGATTTTTTGGTTTCATAATGTGAGTGGCTTGCGTGATAATCTGTGTAAACGCCGAAGGCGTTTTAATTATTTGCATAAATTACCACGCAATCCAAACGATTTGATCATCGTCATGATACCCCCCAAAAAATCTGACTGCGTCGATTGAACCAGTACATTAAGTATTTTTAATATATCTTGGACAAAGACATCGGAAATATAAATATTTTTTTATCAAGCTGAAGATTTTGGTCACAACTATATAGTGTATCTGATGAAGCAAGAATTCTTTTACTGACAAAAAGGCGTATCAGGTATTTTACTTAGTACTTAGTTCAATTTATCATTCAATCCAGCTCAATGTTCAATGCAAACCTTTACATATTCCTTTAATAAGGCTATTTTAAAGGATATATATTGTCAATTAAGAATGGTAATTTCCATTCCTACGTCGATACGATATATCCTAGTGAGTTTGACCTAAAAGATACCACAGATTCTGACACACTTGTTTCATACTTGGATATTTTACTTGGAAAAGACGTTAATTGTAATCTAAAAACCAAGCTGTATGATAAACGTGATGACTTTAACTTTCCTATCGTAAACTTCCCTTACTGATACAGCAATATACTTTCATCACCTGCATACGAAGTTAATATCTCTCAGTTAATTCGATATGCAAGAGCATGCTGTACGTATGAACAATTTCTAAAACGAGTTAAAATATTGACGAACAAACTGATGAAACAAGAATATCAGCAATTTCATTTAAAGTCATCATTTGGTTAGTTCTGGTCGATACTATGACCTTTTCAGAAAATACAATTTACATGTATCATTGAGTCAAATTCTGACAACCGTATTTCAAACTAATTGTAGGTCCATTATTCATACACTGAATTGACGGCGGATTTTCCCGTTATTTCCCGATCATGGCAAGGAGCACAAGGCGGGTGTGATCGGTCGGCAGCGAATGCTCTCCTCAAACTCACATCGATAGAATATACAAACTTCAGAAACGAGCAGCTAGGATTATTTTAAATGAAAAATATGATGCACCTTCAATGCCATTGTTTAACATTTTAGGCTGGTTAACAGTTTACGAACTTCTATATTTACAGAAAAGCATTCTAATGTTCAAAATATTTCATCATATGTCTCCGGATTATATGCATGATTTTTTTGAATTTCAAAGTTCTGGATCATACACATTACGCTCAGAGACAAATTCAGAACTCCGTTTACCAAATATAAAACAAATTTATTCAAAAATTCTTTACAATATTCGGGGGTTATTATCTGGAATGAGTTGCCTATTAGTATTAGGAATTCCCAATCCGTTGCAATATTTAAAAGTAGTGTTGAAAATTTTTTACTTATGAAACGTACTGGTTCTACATGAAATTTATGTTTTCCTTTCTTTTCAATGAAATGCCAATATTTAATTTATTCTATTGTAACAAAGTGTTTATATTTTATTGTTTCATGTTTGTAATTATTGTCTTTAATGTATAAAACATTGTATATATGTTATAAAGAAGGCCCTGAGGAAGACTAGTGCTTGCACTAATCGGGTTACCTTCTATAAATAAAGTATTATTATTATTATTATTATTATTAATGCTCACTCCTTCGGGGCACTTTATCCCTCCTCCCATGTTTTGGGGGTCCGTGTTTGCTCTGCTTCTATTTTGTATTGTTTTATGGACTTTTGATCTTGAATACTGTTCGTCATCTCCATATATTTCATTTTTAGACGGGGTCACGTGACCCCGTCTATTAGTTTACTGTCTGAACCCTCAAAACGGAAGCCGTGGTGATAACACATGAATTAAATCTACGCTATATGAAAGAGTGCAGAAATTAATTGTATTTATCAAAATATGAATATTCTGTATCAAACTGAAGAAAGTGGAATGCACTTTTTTCTAAATCATATTACAGAAGTATTTTGTGAATGTAACCTCAATATATCAATTGTAAAACACACTAGTAAACAAAGTACTCTCCTGCGTAGTATTGCGACTGCATCCAGTGTTTACTTCCGGAAAAATATTAATTCGGACCAGGTGAATTCGGACAGTTCAAAAAGGTTTATAGACTTAGAAATTATTGAAATTTCTACCACAAATTAAATGAAAAACGCGAATTTATATTATTCACAGTTTTGTTTTTAGTGTGTATGTTAAATGAAAAAAAGTTATCAAAACTCGTTAAAAAAAATCACATTTGTGAATTTATCTAGCATGAAAATTATTTTGACCCCGTCTTTCAGTACTGCCTCAGTACTTTGATTTAGAAATAACTTGCTGGTTACAAAGCTACAAAGAAAAGTCCGGCATTTAGGATGCGTATTTCTAATGTGTGAAAACATCTAGCAAACTGAATGATATTTCTTTTGTAAAATGTCAGGGGCATTATTTTTTGTCATTGGTCCAAGAATTGTTTGCATGCAAACCAAATTTAATAGGCTTCTGTATATTTTCATAGTTAGTTTGAACTTCAACTTTCCCTGTACGTGTTTCATTTTAAAGTTGGAGTTAAATTTTCTTTGTTTCATATATATACTTTCATTACAAGCCATATTGTAACAAGCTTTATGTATTACTTTACAGATGAGACTAACGTAAAGGAGCTGAAATTAAAATAATATACCTTCTTTTACAGTCAGCACACAACGAAATCCTTTTGTTTTTCGTTTGACTACTTCTTCTAAGTTTTCATATAGTAACTTATTTATGTACAGAGTATTAGAAATATAATATTATATATTTAAGTAAAACATAGGCCTCAAATACATGTTTTAAATTGATCAATTTTAGCAAAAAGTCTTATGCCTTTAGCACTCCGTTTTCTCTAATGTAAAGTAGTCATTATTTTCTGTAGTTTTATTTGCACCATTCTCAGATGGCAGAACGACAATATTGGAGACATCATATGGACGTTCCGACTGGACCCAATTTTCAGGTGACTTCTCTCTCTCGGCAGTATTAGGATCGAAGCAGCCATTTCCTGTACCTAGACTTGACTGCTGTTGGTATCTGTTTGTAGTTTTCTAAAATATGAAATCTTTTTTACGGACGAATAATACAATACGAGAAAACTAACATCACATTCTGTATCTCGAAGTTCCTATCAGGTATAACTAATTCTAACCCTTACTGCTTTTTCTTCCATCTCTGGTTCTTCGATAGAATGATATATCTCCATTTCCGTAGAATGCTCTGAATACTTCCTACTCAAAAGCAAGGCGTTTGAATTGTTACTGAGAATTCTTTTCCTATTAAATAATTACAATCCATTGTTAAGCTTTAATTTTTTTTTACTTGGAATGTGTAAAAACATTGATGGATTTATCTCATCATTTAATTGCGATAAACACAAACAGAACTCTTATTTTATGACGTGAATGTAAAATGCGAAATTAACTTCTGTTTACAGAGTACTTGTCTTTTGTCACAATACCATTTGGAAATTCGAAAATGTGTACATTCGTAAGTGTTTTTGTTCGGTAGAATTACGAAAACATGCATGGTCCTAGCAACTTTGGTAATTATTGGGAAAATCGTTCTTTGTACATTACCTTTTTGAGTATTGTTTTGTCTTTTTCGTCATAAGCACACAAGACACTATCGCAGAAAGTACAAGGCCAATAATCAGTCCTCCAGATAAACTTGCTGCCAAAGGAAATATTTCCTCTGATGCCGATGGCATTAACTCTTAAATAAAAATGATAAGAAAATTGCAGGAAAATTGATTTGAAAATAACGGAATGATGTTTTGTTAATTCAATTTGGTTAAAAGTTGAAAATATATATCAAAACACATATTTTTTCAATTTATTTAAGAAATGAATGTAATATTTTTTTCGTTGATCGATGTATCAAAGAAAAATTTGGACGGAAAACTTCATCAGTGCGCGTAGCGCATTGATGAAAAAGTTTTCCGTCCAAATTTTTCTTTGATACATCGATCAAAGAAAAAATCATTACATTCATTTCTTATCATTTAATTATGATTTTAAATTAATAAAATGAAAGTTTCTTTCACTTTTCTATTAAATTTATGCATCAAAAACAGTGCGCACGAATACATCACCATAACGTTAGCGTTGCTGAAAATTCAAAATGGCTCTAACCATGCTAACGAAAAACGTTCTCAAACATTGTCGTGTGATTACCAACAGTCGCCAAAATAATTTACAGTTCTTTAACACAAAAAACTTACCTGTTGTGTTATCCCTCTGATTATATTTTCCCCGGTAAGTTATCTAAGTTCGTAAATGTAAAGGGAAGCTACTCAAATATCCAAGGCTAACAGTTCTAGGTCACAGAAATTTTGGATTTCATTTACGCATCTTTTCATTTGAATTTCAAACCGAATATATATATACGTATCACGACCTTTCAATGCTGTAAAACCTGAAAGAGTCTGCTGCCGATAGTTCAAGATTAAAGAATTCCATCCTCAATTCATGCAGTGTCGTTTTTCTCGATCACTCGTTTCCCACGATTTAGGCCTAACAGATTTACGGTTTTCCCCGCTTTGGTAGCATAATAAAACATTTTTTTCAGAGTTCTATTGTTTCATACCAGATATCTCAAAGTCAAACATTTAAGAAAAGTATGCCGATTAAATGATTTCTTCCCTTCCTCCCCGTAACTGTATTGCAGACGATTTTAATTTGTTTAGCAAAGGGGGATAATTCAAAATGAAACGAAAGTAGAAAGTAAGTCAGGAACCTAACGGACAGGTTCCGAAATTCAGGAAAATATTTATTAAAGCAAAGGTATTTAATTATTCCTTCAAAAGTAACCTGGAAGCGGGGAATATACATGTACCGACTGTCAAAGTAGTTACGGCTGCTTAGTGCAACCGCACTCTAGATTTTATTGATGCAGTTATCAAAAGAATTTTTTATCCAATAAGAATCAAGTATTTTATAGAAATTAAATGATTTTTAAGTACACCGCTCTCAGATGGCAAAAAGACAATTTATCATGCAGAAGTCCCTGTTGGAAAAAATTAACTGTTCTTAGGATATTTCAGATAAATTGATTTTTTTTTATACCTTTCACACATTTTTCCTTCGATTGAACATAACCAAAATCACACCAGCATCTGTTTCTAAAGCAGATATGTGCGTTTACTGTTCCATTACACTGGGACTCGTGAATACAAGATTGGTTAACTTTTCTTTCCGCTGAAACAAGAGACCATTGTGTTAAAAGATAGAAAAAGACATCCCTTTATGTAGAATTTGAAAGTATTATTCAATAAATCTAATTTTTGAGAATTCATGAGAACAGGAACCATGACACTTTACGCTAGTGTAAAGGCAAAGAATGACCTCCATAGAAAACTGACCGGCGTCATTTTTCCACGACAAAAATGACCCTCGGCCGTAGAAAAAATCTTTTTTTTTTTTTTTAGCAGAAAGAGAGCCCTAAAGGTCATTTTTTTTATATGTGCGTCCTATAAAAAATTGGTGTTGAACCTAATTGTTTTATTTTTCTTCATGCCCATTTGACCAACCTGGGACTAACGCGCACTTAAAATGCAAAACAAAAAAAAATAATAAATAAAAAAAAAATAAAAAACAATAATAAATAAAAAAAAACTAAAAAAAAAAACTAACAAAAAACAGAAAACAGAATTACATTTACATGCTAATTTCCATCTAAGCACATATTGAAAATCGAAAGTCTGCTCGCTAAATCTAAATGACTACTATTGGTTTTACCTTTTAGCGCAATGTCTCCTTATAACTTTATAACTAAGTAAACCACAAGCAGGATGTTCTGCCTTTTCAATGATAAACATGACTCCCGAAGTATTCAGCATATAGAGTTTCAGTACAAAAACAATTAATGAGGTAAGTGTTTGGAAATAAATAATAATCAGGTAAATTGTTCAGCCTTTGTATTTACATGTATATTAAATTCAACCGCTGCATTTCATTTCCGGAAATATGCATAGCATTTCCGAAATTTTTTTATTTCATTTCCGACATTTTTGTTTTCGTTTCCGACATATTTTTTTTTTCATTTCCGGAATTTACCTGTGCGGCAATTCAATGTTTTCTAAGTTAAAGAAAATGGAATTTCAAAAGTATTTATACCAAAATATTAATAAA